CCCCCCCCCCCCCCCCCCCCACCCACACAAGATATAAACACAACAATAATGATAATGCAATTTACTTTAAAAGTTCTAGTGCTACATACTGTGAGTGGTAGTGAAAAATCGATTGGAGTACATTTTGAATAGTTGTCTTGATGTTGAAATCAAAAAAGGGTCACAGACTTACTTTCCCACTTCTCCCTACTAATAATCAACATTTACAAAAATCAAAAGCCAAAAAAGAATGTACCCAACCATGAACAAAAAACAAAGAGCTTGTGTTCTTCTAAAAAGCAATTAGTTCATCTATGAAGACGAGAAGTCTTCTCCATCTTCAGTTATGAACTCAAGCAGCTATGCTATTGCTGTTCACTTTGGCCACTACCCTGAGTAAGGATCCTTACTGTCTTCTCCACCAATATATATGGTACATTTAGACACATTGGTAGTGCTCTTTGTCTAGCCAATCTACCTTTGCCCTATGTGGTAGTTTGTACTTGTTTCCTCCTTCATCATTCATAACTTCATGCATCACATGTTGGTAGCTCAACCATATCTTGCTCAATGTCTCTGCTGCAAAAGCTGCATATGCACCCCTAACTGCTTCCACAAGTTGTGCCACATTTTGTGGAGCACGCTTCTCTTTCAGTGATTGGATGGCTCTTAAAAATCCAATTCAAGTATGTTTAGGTCTAGATAGAGAGTTAGGGGGTTGGTTACTTAAGCTTATGTTGAAATCATTTGCACATGTTGCTGCTATGAACTCTTGGTTTGTGCCAGAAATATGGAGTCTGGCATTATTTTGTTGAAGCACAATGCTTCTGTCTAAGAAAGATGGCCATTTCTCGTGGATTGAAGATATAACTTGGTCCACTAACATATCTTTTTTCACCTCTTTGGTAACACTAAGCAGTTGTTTCATTTGCAAAACTCCTGCCTCTCTGTTTTTACTCTTTCTTTTAACTGCCACAGTCTCAGCAAAGAGAATATTCCAATTTTCTCATCCCATAAAACTTTCCCATTGTCTAAGGTTAATGGTCTACTAATAACACATAAGAACATGACCTTAGTGATGAATCTCTTTGACTTACAAGTTCTGTAAAGATCCATTTCATCCTTGGTCAAATAATATTTTTGTGATGCACATAAAAAATTATTTTTCATCCATGTGGAAAATATTATGAAAACTTTTTAAACTTAGGGTTACAAGGGATGCTTGTGGGTTCTAACTGATTCAAACAAAAATACAATCTTTGTGGCTTGTTTCCATCTGTTACAAAAGGTTTAATTTCATTTGAATGACTTCTTAGCAAACCTCTCTTTAGGCAAAGATGGATAGTAGATTTTAGGGCTAGGTTGGGAAAACAAAAAATCGTAAACCGAACCGAAATCGATCGAAACGAGCTAGAAAAAAACCGAACCGAAAAAACCGAAACCGAATGTAAAAAAACCGAACCGAACCGTTCGTGTTTGGTTCCGTTTTGGTTTTCACTTTGAAAACCGAACCGAACCGAATAAACCGAACTTTCTTAGATACTTCGCTTTATTTATATGAATATATGTGATATGTAGAAAAATTAATGAAACATATATAGCAAATAAATTACTAGTCGATTAAAATTATTTTCTTAACTATTAATTAAACATTCGAGCCATATTATTATAAACTTTAAAAAAACCTAAGAATATGAACACTAATAGCTAATCCTAATATAGAATTATATTAATATTAAAAATTGATACGAGTAATTTACATATTTACATAAAAAATACTTTGATGTTATAATGAAAATGAAAGTATTATACCAAAAAAAACATAAATTCTTCGTAAATGATTTTATATATGATGTCTATGGAAGTATTTGGAATCTTCTAAATGTTTGTTGGGCACTAAACACATATTTTTTATGTAAAATTGAACCGAAAGGAACAATAACCTTCCGTTTGGTTTTTGTTTTTATGTAAATATCAAACAAAAAAACCAAAGCTAACACTACATATTGTTATTGTTTCATCGAGTTAGTGTATTTTTAATTTTTTAATGCTTATAAATTTCTACTTTTATAAACCGAAAAAACCGAAAAAAACCGAAATAAAAACCATATAAAACCGAACCGAATAACCAACGGTTTACATATTTTTTATGCAAAACCGAATCGAACCGAACCGCCAATTTACCTTCCGTTTTGTCTTTGGTTTTGGGTGAAAACCGAACCCACCCCTAGTAGATTTGGACATACCAAATACTGCAGCTAGTGATTTGATGGTTGTCCTTTGGGCTAGAGGAATGTTAGGGATAAATTCTATATCTATGACAACTCTTTTTCTACGAGTATTTCCATAGGCCTTACTTTTGACATCAATGACAGCACTTTCCTTTAACTATTTTCTAGCTTTATTCCATATGTCTCCTATGCTTCTTCTGGAAACATTGAATTTATCAGCAACCTTGCAGATAATTCCTTTCTAAGCTGTGTAGTCACTTGAAATGTTTTTTGGCATATGGTAGGATTGATTCTACAATTCTTTGACTTTGCGAGTTTGATAGCCTGTGTTGCATGACTTGTGTTGTCTTCGCAGGCCGTCATCTCTGCCTAGGCGAAAGACAACGACAGCATCAGGAGGGTGGCAGCAGTACTAAAGACGGAAGTAGCAGCAAGGACAGTTGCAGAAGTATTAATGGTGGAACAAGCAGGGACAGTTACAAGATGAGGTTCAGGACCGAGAGGAGAGATATTGGATGATAAGGAGAAGGTGCAAAAGTGGACTAGGGATTGCCTTTCTTAAAAGTGGAATGTGTTGGGTTATTTATAGAATATGATTTGGTGGGAAGATTTTATTTTTGTTTGGGAGGGAAATTTTTAGAACTTTCCCTCTATAATGTATTTGCTTGAACTTAAGAATCTTGAGTAGATTATGCAATGTACGGTGCTTTTGTTCTTCACAACGTAAAAAATCATGCTCCATTATGCAATGCTTTTTTTTGTAAAATTTACATGAAATAGAACGAAAACACAAGACATTTTTCAATGTAAGACTTAAACTTTTTATTCTCTAAATACTATTTAATAATGTCTAGTGAGAGAAATAATATCCAGTGATGGTGGACATTTACTTGAATAATGACTTATGGATAATGACCAATGATCCTACATTGAGAAATAAAAACATATGGTCCTATATTGAGAAAGTCATTGGCCTTGTTTGGATGTTAGCGGTTAGCTGTTGGCAGTTGGCTGTGTGTGTTGGCTGTTTTGAATGGTTGATTGAGTTAGCTATTTTGACCAGCAGATTGTATTGGCTGTTAGGAAAAAATTGTTTGGTAAATTTAGTTGTTCATACACAGCTGTTTGCAATGAAAATTACATATTTAGACATGTCTCCAAATATGTTGCTTAATTTTTTTTAAAGGATGTGTTAATTACTCCCTTCGTCCAGAAATATTTTTCCCATTTGACTTTTTTTGGTCAAAGTTTGTAAACTTTAACTATGATATGTGGAAAAAAGTCAATGTATTAGGATATAAATTTAATATGAATATATTCATTTTGAAATATAGTTTTTAAATATCAAATTTTTTATAAAATATATCCATGTATAAATAAAGATATTAGTGGTCAAAATGTAATCCTGGAGACTGTAAAAAGTCAAATGAAAAGAACATTTCCGGACGGAGGGAGTAATTTATTGTTGTGAATCGTTTAAATTTTTAAATTTTGATAACAATAACAACCTAGTAGGATCCCACTAATGTAGGATCAAGGAAGGGTGTTGTACGCAGTTCTTACACATACTCGGAAGTAGAGAGGATGTTTCTTAAATATAAAAACACATAATTTTTTTTAAAAATTATTCTTGAACACTTAGAATTTAAACATTATTTATTTTCTATAAATATTTATAATCATTTCATTTTAAAATAAAAATTTAAAAATATTATGCTAAAAAAAGAGTAGTGTACCATAAAAATTATTGGAATGAAGAAACATGTCTATGATAAGAAAAAGAAAGAAAAAGAATGCTTTGATAAAAAAAATGGCGATGATGGGGCATCTCTTTTTTGGGAACGGCTCAAGAAGGGCAAAAAATTAAATATATGCGATCAGCCAATTAGAAACGCTACTCATGTTGGCAGTTCAAATTTCGGCAGTTCGTGGCCAACAGCTAATTGCAAAAGCCAGTGTCCAAACAATTTTTTTGGCAGATTGAAAAGTCAAAAAAGCCATTCATGGTCAAAACATCCAAATGCTACCTCAACAGCCATTTACCAAACATGACCATTATGTTTTAGTCGTATTTAGGTAAATTTTCTTTTTTTTACGTTTTTAATTAAAATTTTGTATAAAGGGCAAAATGAGAGGTCAAAGATGAAAAAAATGAAACCTTTAAAAATGGCATAGAGTCAACCGTTGGGAGTGGATTTAGGAGGAAGGGAGTGTAATTCAATTTTCAAATACGATTAGTCTTAATCTCCGACGTTAACCGGCCGATTGTTCTCTGCGAGATCAGCTGCCAATCAATCTACAGATCCTTCCATGGAGGGGTTTAATTACCGCATTTCCGGAAGACTTCATCCGGGGCCGGGGCTCCTACGGCATCCAAAAAAAAGAGGAACTTTTACCTCTTCTCTGTATTTGGGTAAAAAAGGAATTTGGACTTCTGCAAATCATCTTCCTCCTCGGCTCCTCCTCCCAAACAGCCCCGAGGAGTATTTGAAGGGGCGCACTCGATCTTCTGAAAAACACGCATTCATTGTTTTCCTTCTTTTCTGCTATTTAGGGGCTGTTTGTTTCAGCCCGTTCAGATGTCTGAATGATTCAGCACTTAATGGTTCAGACTGTTTGTTTCAGCCTCTTAATGGTTCAGATGTCTGAATGGTTAAGAGATTTGCCTCTGAATGGTTAAGTATTATACAGAGTCTGAATGGTTAAGAGCTGTTATCTGAATTGATCAGACATTTGCCTCTGAATAGTTAAGCAATATACTAGCTCTTACTGGTTCAGCACTTAATGATTCAGACCTCTTACTGGTTCAGCACTTACCCATTCAGAAGTTGCCAAACAGCCCCTTAGTGTTTTTACTTCACTGGCTGTCTGTAAAGTCTCTACAGGTATGCTCAATCAGTTCTCTTAAAATAATTACTGCATTTTAAATTTTTAGAGGTTTATAAGTTTTTCTGCCTGATCAATTTCACCTATCTTCAGGTTGAATGTCTAATAAATTTTTGATGTGGTGTGATTTTCTTTATTGGGGAGTAGTAGTAGCTATTACGGAGTATAATAATCATAGCAGCAACAATTACCAACTATAATATGCTTTTTTGGTTCATAATGATCTTATTTATGCCTGAATATTTGACGTGTTCCGAAAACTCATTGTTTATCATGAATGGTTGCCTTCATTGGGTCTTGTATTTGTTGGGTGTTGTTATTTGCCCACCCTTTACTTATTGCGTGATCGTTTAAAGTTTTACCTTTACTATTCATCTTCTACTAGGTGTTGTATTTAGCCAATGGTCTTTCAGAAACATCACTCTACCTTATTAGATAGGGAACATACACCGATCCATCCCAAAGCGGGATCGTACTGGGTTGTAGTTATTCATAACCCATCCTTTCTCCCGCTTTTTCGAGAATACAAACTTAATTTTGCTTCTGATGTTGTTTACTCGTCTTCCTTGCGTACGTAGGTGTATGTTTCCTCACAGAGATGATTATGGATCAGTTGGTGAGTCAACAGATTCCAGTTGCAGAACAAGATCATTTTTACTACCTAAAAGAATCAATGGATATTCCACAGAAATGTAGTGATGACAATGTACCTCTCGATGTCATGGATGCCCCATCAAATTCAAAATGTCCAAATCGTGCTCCTACGCTGGACTCTCAAAATCATCGCGACTCTGATGCTGTGATCAAGTTTCTTACCCAGATACTACTGGAGGATAACTTAGATGAGAATGATCTCAGCATGTCTTACGATCCCGTTGCTCTTAGGGCTGTTGAGAGTTCCTTCTACGAAGCCCTGCGTCAGAACCCTTCATCCCCTTATCAAGGACCTCTACTTTTTAACAATAATTCTGAAATGCTGCATTGCACATTTGGGAGCTCAGGCGATCCTAGCACAACTGGCAGCACCAATAGCAGTTTTGACACTGACCAGTGGATTCTCAATCCTGAAGAACCAAAATCATCTCTGGCTGGTGATCCTCCCTCTTTCCATTCATCAAGTGTACCTAACTTGAATGACTGTAACACCGATTCTACTAGAAGCAAGAAGCATAACCTTCCAAATAAAAGTGGGATAGAAGAAGAAAGGAGCAGCAAATATTCTGCAGTTCATGATGAAGTGGGGGAGGATGAATTGTCCGAGATGTTTGATAAGGTTTTAATATGTGCTGATAGTATCGTAGCTGATCAGTTTCCATCTATAGTTGGCTGCAAGGGAACAAACTGCCAAGGTGGTAGGAAGAGTCATTCAAATGAACAAAAAGATAATACTGAGTTTGTGGATCTGGAGTCGCTTTTACTAAGTTGTGCACGATCTATTGCTGCTTTTGATCATGGGTCTGCAATAGAACAATTAATATATATCAGGAGGTACACATCGCCAACTGGTGATGCCTATCAAAGGATGGCTCATGCATTTGCAAATGCTCTTGAGGCACGGCTTAATGGAACAGGCCCACAACTCTCCGAGGGCCTAGCTCCAAATAAGAGGACTGGGCTATTAAGATCCTTCATGATATCTTGGCCAGTCTTAAGGATATCATATCTCATTGCTAATAAAGTAATTCAGGAAGTAGCTTCAAAGGGCAAATCACTGCATCTCATAGATTTTGGTATTTATTATGGTATCCAGTGGGCGACTCTTATCCGTGATCTTTCAAAAAGACCCGCAGGCCCTCCTAAACTTCGAATAACTGGAATCGACTATCCCGTACGTGGTTTTCGCCCAGAACAACTGGTAGTAGACACTGGTCGTCTCTTGGCAAAGTATTGCGAACAATTTGATGTTCCATTCGAGTACAATGCCATAACTTCACAGAACTGGGAGAAAATCAAAATTGATGATTTGAAGCTTGTTAGGGGTGAGGTTGTTGCTGTCAGCTGTGGGTTTCGGTTGAGAAACCTAATGGATGAAGAGACCGTTGGGGGGGACCACCCTAGCCCTAGGGATGCAGTTCTGAACTTAATCCGGGAAATAAATCCACAAGTTTTTGTACCAATGGTGCTCAGTGCATCTCACAGTGGCCCGTTGTTTCTGCCTCGTTTTCGAGAGGCTTTATTATTCTACTTTAATTATTTTGACATGTTTGACGCCACTGTGCCACATGATGACAGCAGATTGAGGTTTGAGCAAGAATTCCTGGGGCGCGAAATAATGAATGTCATTGCTTGTGAGGGAATGGAGAGAGTAGAGAGGCCAGAAACATACAAGCAGTGGCATTTGCGCATTACGAAAGCTGGGTTTAAGACAAAGCCCATGAACCAGGATCTTGTGAAGAAGTTAAGTGGCAAGGTGAAGGAAGGGTATCACAAAGAGTTTGTGTTTGTTGAAGATGGTCATTGGGTACTGCAAGGATGGAAAGGTCGGACTCTTTGCGGCATTTCTTGTTGGGTCCCTCGTCATTTTACTCAGAGCACATAGCTAACGCCCCCGAAGATGGCCTCTTCTTATATGCCGCCGTAACATCTTTTTACCCTTTGCTGCTTCTGTCTTTCTGTTTTTAGACTCTCAATAAGCATACGTTTGTCTAGCTGCAGACGTTCTCTTTAAAAA